GAAGAGTAAAAACTACCCATCACAGCTTCCTAGACCCTAAGGTGATGTCAGGAATGCCTTGTTTGGTTGGACCAAAAGTTGAACAAAGCAGATCATCAGCATAGTTGTTGATTACATTTTTATTGACCAACTAACTGATTAATGGGTTAATTATTTAAGCTCAAGTTTTTTTCAGTGTACAATTTGCATTTTCTAAGTTCTGTGTGCTCACTCAAGGTGATTGTCTTGCTTAAAAAATGTTTTTTTTTGTAGCGTATTGTGCATACCTGGTCCCAAAAGCTCACAGTACTATTTTACCAGGTCTTTCAAGTGAGCTCATTATGTGAGAAGACATGGTGCACATCTTCACGGGAGGAATGGATTTACACTGACAAAATGTTGTATTTTATATTGACTAAGATGTCTAATTTACAAAATATCAATAAATGAACCAAAAGCTAATGGTTGGATCTCATCAGTGCAATTCTCTACCTGCCACAACCCCAATTCTGAATTATTCCATTATTTTATTTTATTTTTGCATCTTCTGCTGTCTAAGACTGCGTGCACAGTCAAAGATATTCACACTCTCAGAGGACGCACTACCCTTTTTAAAGTGATGATTTCAGATTTGATGATTCATTCACTACTTGCGTAATCGTGGTACATTTAGATCGGCTCAGTACGCATTCGTTAATTCAGGGTCGAACATTCACAAATGGCAACAGGGCCTGGTGGAGACGCTTTGCCTTCCTGCGGACAATTAACAATACAAATCAACTCATCGTGTGAGAGTCACTGTAAAAAAATGGATTTGTCTCACTTTGTAGGTGCTTGTACTAGCTTGGTTCATGGTTACATATTTTTTGGCTCACCTCGGCACCCTGGGCTACATTTCCCTGTTACCTGCAAATAACACAGTTTGTACTGCCATGTGTTTTATATTTATACCTATGGCCTTGGGTTAGTGTGGGCAAGCCTTCATAGATACACATGACATGGACTGCACTATAAATTGTGCGTGTCTTGCTTGTGGCTAATGTGTACATGTGTGTGTGTCTGTGCACGCCCTGCAATCTGTCAGGGATAAGCACTTTGCTGGTCAGCTGGCCAGTTGTTGAGAGAGAAGGATGCACAAATCTCATGATTAATCACCGTCTGCACCTCTCCAGGCTAATGCTTAGCAACTGCAGAACACCAGCCAGGCCTCAACTCCACCATACTGAGTCCATCTCAGCCACAAAATGAATTCCTATTATCCAGAAACAGTATCTAATAGAATTACCCCATGATACCACACCACCCGAGGTAGACGGTACATTCACCGGTATCACAACGCTTCCTATCATTGTGCTAGCATATACTGACTGATCAGTGAGGTATACTTCCTGCAGTAATCTGTCCTTCACGTGTGCCTGCTTCCCTTGTCTTTGAATGTTTGGTTTATTTGACCTGAAGCGATAGCCTAAGTCCACATATGATTCTGAAGCGGATATGAGAAAATAGTAGACATAGTCTGGCCTATATCCCTGTGTTGATATTTGTTTTGAGGGAGAGAGTGTGCACTGGGTGTGTTCTTCTACCATGTCATTTCTGTTTTAGTAGTTTTTTTTTTCCCCTCAGTGTGGGAAATCTACACCAGCCCAAATGCTGGTCAAATTTTGGCTACAGCTGGGAAGTTTGGCTGTCTTACCAGCCAGCATGCCAGACATCCAACCACGCTCATTGCCTGATCAGATAGTAAAAGCAGCTATTGAATTCTAGGAGCCACAGTGGAGACCAGAAAGTAGATGGAAAAGTGAGTTGCTTGCTTGGCTGACCCTTGGTCATATGGTTCACAGACGTAGGTCTGTTTTTCTGAACCCTTTAGCATTTGACCCCTGAGGAGTTCAGGGTAACATAGTATGCTCTGAGCCGTTCCTTCCCAGGGTGGTTTTGCTTTCAGGGCTTTTTTTTTTTCCTAACATGGGCTACAATTTGTTGGGAGGGTTTGACCTGGTTACTGGATAAACACTGGAGAGCTTAGGCATAAATGCATTTGTTGAAAAGACAAAGTAGTGAGTGAAAAGAATGACTTACAGGACTGGTTACTTGTAGGTTGACTGACATGTTGAGCAATCCTTGTTGTGAAAGGCCTGTCCATTATCAGTCAAACTGAGGGCAGAGCTCATCAGAGTGTTGACGACCTTGCCAAGGTGGTTTTTTTTGTTTTTTTTAAAAAGAGTTTTCTGGAAAGGTGAATTTGACCGAAAGCTGCACATTTAAAACTGTATTTCTGTGTGCTGATTGTAGATTTTTAATTTTTTTTTTAAAGTCAGTTATGGGCTTAAGCAAAAGGTTGTTTTAACCCACTTTTTTTTGTCTTTTCACTTTTTATGTTCTTGAGACAAAATTGAAGTATTCCGTGGAACAGATTTATGACTGGTCTCCTTTTCAGCCAGACCTTCACATAAACTCTTGCCACACCTGAATGGATGAATGCACTGCTTGCTTTGCCAGCCCTAGCACTTGCTTCTAATTTTTAAACTTGAAAACATTGCAAACGCCCATATTTCTTCTAAACTGTGCTCCACATTAAGTGTAGATAAGAATAGGTGATGTTGTTGCAGAGTAATGCTTTTTTGTTAAACACTGCAAGGTCTGTGAGGTTTGTAAGTGCGGTCTGTCGAGTATCTTGTCAATTTCAATCATTTCAAAGCTGATTTTTATTTTTATTTTTTTTCCATCCTTAAAAATGTTTTCTGACTGTGACATTTCAGAAGCATATATCTTTGTAGTCAAGCTGCCCCTCCTCCCTCCAGGCTCAAATTTTATTAGTCTGGTGTTACATTTCTTGTGTGTCAACAAATTTCCACATGTACATTTCACCCTATTTACATAAAATGCTAATGCCTGGCTTGTGTTGCGAGTCCCCCTGCAAATGGTTAAGCAATGGTTTGCACAACTGATGCTCCTGAAGTGTTTCGTCATATTGCTCCTTCATAGAAGAATTGGAGATCATCAAATGGTCGATATAATAGATGTGATGCAGAAAGTAGGAAAAAAAAGTTTATTTCAGTCGTGACCAGACAGTTAAGAGAAAATAAACATGACTAAACATTTTAGTCATAAGGTACGGCTTACTGAACAACTGCTTGTAGCCAGAAGAGTCATTACTGGCTCTGTGCAGTGTGAGAGATCTGACGCATGGATGAGGAATATGAAACTTTTTTTTTTTAAAGGTATTTCTGCTTTTAAGGTGGCATGCATTGGAGAATGACTGGAAAAATGGGGAAGAGGTGGAAGGAAGGAAGGAAGGAATGAGACACTTAAGCGCGTGATTTTGTGGAGACATGAGACATTTAGAACCAATTAAGCATGTAAACAGTAGGGATATGAATTTTGTGTATTGTTCTTCAGCAGCATTGTTATTTCTTTGGATTGTAGGGAAACCAGAAGACTTGATCAGTTTGTTAACAAGTTGTTGTCACAGGCTGCATATTTTGTCTGGCTGAGGTGGAGTCAAGACAGAAACCTTATCAGCGCGACACTGAGAGTATGTGTGTGTGTGTGTGTTTGTGTATGGGAACATGTTTTTGGTGTGTGAGCATATTTTGTGTATCCACATTTTATGGGTGTGCGTGTGTGTGTTTACACGTGTTTGTGTGGGCATACGAACATATCCAGTATGGCTGGTATGCCAAGGATGCCCTTGTTTTAGGTGGCAAAGCTGTCGCCCAGGAATTCTCTTGGCTCCTGCTGGATTCTACTGCTTGTTTTTACTGTTGACTTTCATTATGCTGCCTCATGGAATGGATGTGTTTTTTTGCTTTGTTATTTTGCAAGCTTTGAAAGTAACACAGCAGTGAAAGCACACAAAAATGTGCAATAAAAAACTTATTAGGGCATTTCACCACAACAATGATAAAGAGAAATTAAATGCTAAAAGCGAAAACTAGATTTGCTCTACAAAAGAAAGAAAGCATTTATCAATTAAAGAAAATTCTCTGTTGTAGATAAAGCGTTTTTGTTTGTAACATGCTTCTCTAAGTGGTTCACACGCTTGTGTCATAGGGATGTTTCTGAGGGACTTTTGAGCTCCAGTGTAATGGTTGTAAATAACTGGTCAGAACCCTACATAGTTCATGCCGAATAAAACATCTCTGGGCCTAAAGAAAATCTTTGTAACTTTTTTGTTTGCTTTTTTTTACAATCTCAGTTCTTACTTAGTAGAAAATATTAGTGATTTAGGTTAGGATCCAGTGCCATTTATGTGTCATTTTGGGCCCCCTCCTTACTGTTTTTGTCCTTTCCATCACTTAGGCCAATGCCAAAATGTCAGAATCTTTAACCCTATTCAGGACTTTTGGGGTCTTTTGGACCACAGGCCATTTGGTTTAGGTGACAGGTATTGTTTTTTTTATTTTTTTGAAGATTTTTTTAATATAAAACGAGGGACATTTGTCTTGCATTTGAAACCAAAATTATATCAACTTATCAGAAAATGTATTAAACATAGTATAAAAGTCTGTAATGAATACCAACAAATATTTTGCACATATTCTTTCTTGGGATCCAGCAGACCCCAAAAGACCTTCTACGAATGGCAACATGGAAGTCCTGAATAGGGTTAATTAAAAGGTTGTCATACATTTAAACACTAGCACGAGTTTGTTATTACATGCATCAAAGCAAGGCAGAAAGAAATATGCATTTGTACAAAGGAAACGATCCATTATGTCTTTTTTTTTTTTTTTTTTAACAACCTTTGTCACAAGTGTTAAAGCTATGTGTGAAGTGCTCAGAACTGCAAAACGGTACATTTACTTGTGTGAACTTGTCTCCTCCTGTGTAGTTGTACTCTTCGGTCAGCTTGAGTTAATTAAGTCAGTGTTACTTTAAAAGTCGAATTGCTTCAGTGTACCTGTCAAGACCGGCTGGCACAATTTTAAAAAAAGGTTGTGTGAGCTGCATGACTTTAAAGCAGGTAAAGAAAAGTAAACACTGTTTCTCTTTTTTTTCTTTTTCTTTTCTCTTTTTAGGAACGTACCAGGTCATTTGACAGCTTCAACATGAATACTCTGGAGAGCTCCCTGATTGACATCATGAGGGCTGAGCAGGACACTCTGAAAGGTGAGATGCCAGCTGTCAATCCAGAACATGAAACACTAAGCAGACAAGTGGCAATGCTACCTTTTCATTTTCTATTGTGATGACAGCAGAGCTGTGGTGCATAGGATCTAACATCATGACATGACATTGACAAGAAAGTGATTCACTTCATCTGCTGATGATCCACACGCAATATGTAGTTCAGTGTAGAAACTAACTGGGAGATGAGGGTGTATTTCAGATTTAGCCTACAGTGTATTTTTAGCGTAATTCAAGACATAATACATTTCCCTACAATATGATCAAATTAATGGCTCACCTTACTTAGTTAGTTTCAAAATATAAATTGAAAGCACAAAAATGGTAATAAAGACTTTACAAATGATCTTTAACAGCAAAGTTACAACATCATATCCAGTACTGTGGTAAAAGAAGACAATACTTTCCAAGATATTGCAGTAACTAGTTTTTATTTGTCAATTAGCTTCATACCATGTGCAATAAAAAGCAAATAACAAAACCAAACAGTATTGTAACTGTGTAAGCACACTTTGTCTTTAAAACAGCACCAATTGTCCTGTTCCATGATTGCAATTTATAGGTCTTTTCGAAGGTAAAGCCGATAAACGCTCATAAACGCACGTATGCGCTTGTTCACGAGTTAACACCTCAGTTTTTAGCAAAGAAGTTTCACTTCCTCCACAGATCAGACAGATCCTCTTTTGGTGTGATTATCAACATTAATAAAAGAGGTCAGTCTGTGTAGCAATTAGCTCACACCTCAATCTCTCTCTTCCCCCTCTCTCTCCTTCCCACTTTGAGTAATAATGATACTAAAGAAAAGAACAACAGCAAAAAAAAAAAAGGATTTCTTAATTGTGAACAAATTCATTTCAGTGTGATCTGTTTTTTTTTTTTTCCTTTCTCATGCATTTTGAGAAGGAGAAGCAGAGAGAATGATGGAGGCTTTGGCTTTGTGTTTAAGAGGGGATTTGGGAGAGAGATGGAAGGACTCCCACTGATCTGAACTGAAGTTGTTGGCCATCATTAGTTTCTAATGATCACTGCTGCAGAGACTCCCCCTTTGAAGGATGGTAACAGGCCTCTCAGCACAATCATGCACAATTATTTCTGTCCAAAAAAGTTGGACACAGTTGTGATGGATGCAAATGCACATTGCTGTTACCTGCAGTGGGTCGTCCATTTACCAGAATTAACACATTTTCCTACTTATTGCTGTTAAAAAGCATGAAGAGAAACATCTTTCTCAGATTGCAATGAATGCATTATAGGTCAAAGGATAGAAGTGGGTTTTGTGTTACTTGTTTTTCAAGCTCCCCACAAAATTTGAATATGATGATTACTATGTGTATTTTTTTACACACATATCCTGTATTTCATACCTTACAAAGTAGGTGTTCATTCCTGTAGTTAGCTTAAAAGGGAAACTAACCCTTGGCAACTGGCTTACTGATCTTGGTTATCGATTAACAGAGAATAACCAGTATTTGGTATTAGCTAAATGGTAATGGTAAATTGGGTATTAAACACAGCAGTTAAACGCTGTTGTTTATTCTTTTAAAGGGTGTAACTTTCGTGATTACAGACAGAGAGTGCTTAGCTAACAGAAAACACTGTGGCCACGACTAGATATTGGCCAAGAGGGAGGAGCTGATGGGAGTAGTTCTGGTAATGACCGTTGTTTAAGAAGAAACACCTTTTGGTTTCTCAAGGATTTACTGGAGTTTAAAGGATTTGGGTGTGGCACTGGGGTTGGACTGAGTACAGACTAGTTGTAATTTGTAATAGACGCCAAGGTTTAATCACAGAAAAAATAACTACATGCTGTTTTTGTTTTGTTTTTTTAAAAAGGATGTAACAATCGAATGAGCTGAGCAAAATAAACTGATCAGCTTGACTCTCTGTATGAACTAACCTCAGTCTAAAAGGTCTGAAAACTGAAGTGAGACAATCTTTTTCTTGTCTAGTCCTCTCGTTTGTCTAATGGCAAGAGAAAGACTTTGTTTTGAACATTTAGATGTTAATGTCAACAGTTTTAATGCTGAAAATGAAACTCAAACATGGCACCGACAACACTCTTTGTCTCTATGTCACAGACCTAAAAAGCAATTGATTACCCATTTGATCATTCTGATTTCAAACAGAGCTTTATGTTCTATAAAGAGCACCACCACGTAAAACACATTCCAGTTTCACTACCAAAATAGCGAGACAAGTGAAAACTCTGAGCTCAAGACACTTCACTGTCACCTTCTACGTATTTCAGCCCCAGACCCACTGGGCTCAGCCACATCCAGCTGTGATCTAATGTTCTGCTGTCAAACCTTAGTAAATCTTCCCTCGATATTAGGAAAGGAAGAGTGGAAGGCTACCTCATTAGCCATGTCTTGGTATCTTAGCTCCAGCCATGCTGGCACAGATTCCTAGGACTGTTAGATCCAAGAGCCTGGCACTGGAAGACAAAGCAAATTTACTTCTAAATTGAAACCCTAAGCTTCTGCTTCATTAGAAATCAAACCACACTGGGTTTTGAAAATATGATGAAATTACTTATAACTGAGGTAATTTTGACTGCATTTTCCTGTAATAGTTGAATGTAAATGCTCGGTCCACTTGTGCTACAGCAGTCATATTTGTTGAGGAAATATTTCCCTGGCGGTTTATTTCTGTGATGCAGCAAATTAATCTTCTAGCTCCTCAGTCGTCCTTTTCACGTTTGTTCTTATAGAGGAGCCCATTCTTTACTGCTTTCGCCAGATGCATTACAACATATCCCATAGTACTTATCTTTTTTTTTTTTTTTTTTAATTTTACCTCGTAGCACTTGGCCTACTATAAAATATTACACTATTTATTCGTTGTTTTCATAATTGTGGTCCAGACTTGTACAATGCTGTGCCAAGTGTAGCAGTGACTTAAGTGAGTTTTTTTTTCCCTTTTCTCCTCACGGCAAAGTAAAAAGACAAAAAAACAAAACATAATTACAGCACATTTCGTTTGAGCGCTGACTCTTCTCCAGGCCAGCTCTTGTTCTCTTCTGCTCTCTGTCACACAAATACATGCATGCGCACACAGATGTAATAAACACAGACGCCATGCGTACACAAGGACATTTAGATACACATAAGCAGAGAACCGATTTCTCATTCCAGCTGAACATATTGAACAAAGTGAGAGCAATGAAGCAAGGGAACAGGCGAGACAAAATGTCTACAGTAGAAGTGGCTTTGAATCGCTTCCAGCATTGTCCTGACTGACAGAAAGGATCCCTGTGTTCAGCCATCATACACACAAACACACACACACACGCCACTGTGTTGTGTGTGTGTTTGTGCATGCATGTGCTTTAACTGTTACTGTACGCAGCCGGCAGCATGCAAATAAGGTTCACAGAGCGGGCACACACAACTCTGCATTCGCACAGGGATGTGTGTGTACTTGCATGCCTGCACACTCGCTTGCCTATGATTATTAGAGGGTTTTAAAATTCGATATGGCAGGTTGTGCTCAGATGGACTTTGATTTTGGGTGGTGCAACTATCAAGCGCGTATATTGCGGAGCTAAATTACAGAGGGAGCTAAATTGGTGCATTCCGCAGTATAGAGTCGAAGATATGCGCTTGTCCGTTTGAGCTGATTTATGTTGGCACATGTGATTTTATTTTGATTAAACGGAACGTTTGGCTAACAGACTGAAGTTATATTTTGATGCCAGTAATATTGTGTGGGGCTCAATAGGGCGAGGAATGGGGGAGGGACCAGCGGATTTCCATCGGAATGCACCAATCACAGGGCGGTCCGTACCCATACAACAATGGTCGTACTATTTGAGCTCTTTCATCTCATTATCCCTCTGCAGCAAGCGGGCCTTGCATAACTTTGAAGCCTGTTTGGCATCATAACATGTATTTGTGTGGGTGCGGGTGTGTTTGTGTGCGCACGATGGGCCTGCTGACAAATGGCTCGATGTAGACTGTATGATATGAGGCTCAGAGAAAAAGAAGAAGTTCAGATAGAGGAATGGAGGTCGATGAGAGAGAAAACGAGATGTCCCACAGATGTAGTATCTAATGAGATTGATGTGGAAGCACTTGGTGTGTTCATAGCTCTTACAGCCAAAGCCTGGTCTGTATGAACAGTTTGAATTAGTTTGAACACAGCCTTTTACTATGGCCCTATGCTGTGTGCAGAATACTTCAAACAGAGCAAGGTAATCTCTGCATATGTTGAAATAATCAAGAGCATTATCATGGTCGCTTGGCTTTTGCCAAGTTAGAAATAGCTAATTAATGGTATTAGTGGCGCTAGCTTGCTTCATATTGTTTGTCTAATGGGGTTGTCGTATTATGAAGGCTATGCGATGATCAGAACTGTAATACCCAATGCGTTAGGTTCTTTTTGTTTAGAATAATGAATCAGCACAAACGATTTGCCTTACAGTGAGACTGATGTACAGTCAGAGGAACATTACAACTTCTGCTCATGTTATATTATATGTAATACATATTTCTGTTCTGTGTCTTCCTGTGTAGGTCGACTGGGGTTTCCCCACCCAGGAGGGGACAACCCTCTTCCTCTCAATGGTACGTATGGTAACCTACACATAGTCCTCAAAGGTCTACTAACACCACAAACTGCGGATTACAATCATCATGTAGAATTTGTGTCTTAAATTCAATAGATAATTATTTTGCCAAATTCATTTAAAATTGACCAGGTGTTCCTTAAAACATAATGTGATTAAATATCAAGCTGTCATTCACTTCATAAGAAGACAGTGTTTTTATCATTTGAAATCGCTCATTTATCTGAAAATATGCACCCACCTGGGAGGCTAAAAAAAAAAAGAAAAACCCACACTGGATCATTTTTAGTTTCTGTACTAAGAACGTACCTCCCTCAGGAGAATCATGTCAGTCTTTCTATTAGTGATGCCAACAACTAATATGAATAAAAGGAAGAAAAAGAATGATTCACCCAATTATAGTGACGTTCTTCTTCTTCTTTTTTTTAAACTCAAAGCTCTGTTGACTCCATGTAGGTGACACTAAGTATGGCAGGTGGAGCTAGTTGGACGGTGTGAGATAACCCCGAGTGTTTGTGTCTGGTGACTGTGGAGCCTCCTGTTCCCTCGCTCGCCTGGGATTGGATCCAAGCACGGAGTTTTGTGTCTGTCCTTTGTTTCCCTTTTTGCTTTGTAAATTTCCACACTTGCAGCTTCAAAGTCGTTTTAACTAACAAGCGTTTTCGCCTGTGACCTTTCACCTAGTTTTGTAACGTCTGCCTCCTTTCATTTCGACTGTTTATATTGCATTGTCCCTTAAACTAATAGATTACCGAAGCGGGGACTGAAAGATGATGATTAGAAAAAGAGAGAGGGGAAGTAGTAGTTTTTTACCCATTTAATAATTGGATTGACTGAAGGGATGGAAAGAGATAGAAAAAATGACCTTTGGTTTGATTAAATGGTTTAATAGATATAATAAATGATTTGATAGATAGAGAAGCTGATTGTAGATATGTGCTTTAGAGCTGCTGTGATGCTCCTAATTTTAGAACTTTTGATGCAAACTGTGACTCTTTTATGTTTTTTAATTTGATTTTGCTTTTAAATATGCTCCTTGTCGCCTGTGTTAATTCCTCATTGTTGATTCTTTGACTCCGGCTTGAGTTTCCGCATACGGCCCCATTAACAAAAGAAAAAGAAAAAAGAAATGCCTTGAATTGCATATTCACACCTCTGAACGTCTCCGATGGTTGAACAAAAATCGGCAAATCCCCTCGTTATGCTGAAGTTTCTGCAGCAGCAGTTTTAATATTCAGCTACCTCTGCTTGCCCTTGCTCAATGTCATTTCCTTAATCATTGTGTAATTGTGGTGTTGTTGCTCTTCGCCTCCTGGTCTTGGGCCAGGGCGTAAAACGGGAGAGGCCAGTCGTTTCTTCAAAAGATTGCCGGGTCACATGGTGCGATCACATGGTCAGGAGCTGTCATCAAGCCCTGAGACAGATGGTGCCAGCGGATAGGCAGAGGATAGAGGTTGCACACCAGCTCTCTCTCTCTCTCTCTCTCTCTCTCTCTCTCTCTCTCTCTC